GCGAACAAAGCTATCTCACAGCCTCTTATAAACAATTGCAATTTAATGTTCAAAGCCGGTGTGGGAATGTTGTTGATTTCATGACGCAATGGATAGAATTTTTGTAGTGTAATGCTGCAATTTATTTGTACAACTGATGTGTTTATTTTCTCTCAAACTAAAGTAATGCTAAAAGGCAACCATGTAAATGATGCAGGAAATACTTCTATCACAATATAAATTATAATAATTACACCATTATTATCTAAGGAGGCATTAAGAGTTTACCTAGTGTGGAATATTAGGGGGAAAAAAACTTTGTTGTAGTACATTATTGGAACGCATTAAAGGACCAAATTTTATTTATATTTTCCAAATTTCGATGTTCATGACATATTTATGTAGCGAATGGTTATGGTATATATTCCATTTGTTTTTAAAAAAATTATTTTAGTTTATCTTGACACAAACTTTAATAAAGAAAAAAAAATTATATACTCCCTCTGGGTCCACAATAAGTGACCAATTTTGGGCGATGTGCACAAATAGCCACTGACGGCTCATGTCTTTATTTTAAAGCCAGTGTTTTAAATGTCTTTAGTCTTTAGCCACTGGTTTAATAAACTTTAACTGCCCGGACGAAAATACCCTTCTGCTCATGTCCTTAACTTCAGGACTTCAGGACTACATGTCCTTAACTTTTGAACTTGGAACTCTAAGTTCAGGACTTCAAGGTTACATGTCCTTAACTTTTGAACTTGGAACTCAAACTTCAAGACCAAGCGTCCTTAACTTTTGAACTTGTAAGTCAAAGTTAAGGACCTATTGTCCTTAACTTTTGAACTTGCTTGTCCTTAACTTTTGAACGTGTAACTGTAAGTTAAGGACTGTCTGTCCTTAACTTTTGAACTTGTAAGTCAAAGTTAAGGACTTATTGTCCTTAACTTTTGAACTTGTAACTGTAAGTTAAGAACTGCTTGTCCTTAACTTTTGAATGTGTAACTGTAAGTTAAGGACTGTCTGTCCTTAACTTTTGAACTTAGAAATCAAAGTTAAGGACCTATTGTCCTTCACTTTTGAACTTGTAACTGCTGTCTGTCCTTAACTTTTGAACTTGGAAATCAAAGTTAAGGACCTATTGTCCTTAACTTTTGAACTTGTAACTGTAAGTTAAGGACTGTTTGTCCTTAACTTTTGGGCTTCTTAGCCTAAGTTCAGGACCAAGTATCCTTAACTTTTGAACTTGTTACCACACATCCCAGCATTATCTGCTATCAAGAAGAATGCATGAGGAAAGCAATGTGTGGACTGGTGACACAGAAGTATATTTGGGTGGTAACATTCGGACTTCAAAGGCTCACGAGGGAAAACAATGAGATAAAGACTGTTCTTTGTTTTTTGATGCAAAGAACATGTTACATAAATTTCAAAGTAACATAACGTAATATTACTACACATGGTAGTTAACTTTTTTGACAAGATATATTTTGCCTAGAGTCAATCGTTTTGGGATTATTTAGAAATTAGAACTGCCATATATTACTACAAACCTTTGGATAATTGGATCTCTACCAAATGAGTTACAATCTCAAACAGTGTAACAAAAGATCAAATTTACTCGATGGTGAGAAAGACAAACATTTATTTTGGATTATGGAGAAGGCACACAAAGAGAGAAGCGAGGGTTTGGGAAGAAAAGCAAGGGAAGAAAGGGTAAAAATATCTTTTCATATTAATTTTAAAAGGGTAGTGGCTATTTTTGCTCAACATTAAAATTGTGGATAAAAAATAAATATCACCTTAAATAGTGGCTACCCCATGCCATTTCTACCCAATTTTGCCTTTTTATTTTGGTTCAAAATAAGTGTCCATTTATATAATCAAGAAAAAATTCAATTTGTTTTTCCAAAATTACCCTTATGTACATATCCCTCAAAAGTCTTCTACTGCTCACATTAAATTATGTTGCAACATTTAATTAAGGGTAGTTTAATCACACTAACTATTTTTGTCTAAATTTTAGTATTTCCTTCACGGGTGTGCCCAAGGCAATTAGTCACTTATTGTGGACCGGAAAGAGTATATATATATACTTAAGATTTTAGAGCCCGTTTGGATAAGCTTAAAAAAATAGCTTTTCAGCAGAAATAACTTTTAAGCCAAAAAATAATAAAGTTGGGGTTGCGGAGTTTATCGCTTTTGACTTGTTTAAAGCAGTTTTAAACTTATTTTAAGCACTTTTTAACTTTGACAAATCTATACTATATTAAAAGCACGAAGGCCCTTAGCGAAATGCCGTTCGCCTTTTTTACCCTTTAAAAATAGGTTTCATATTAGATAAAATGGTAAGTTTTTTCCTAATATTTAGAACTTTAAAATCAACTAAATTTTTGCTTACTAAATTGTTCCTTATTTGATTATAGGACTTTAAAAGCAAATTACCTTATATAAACTCTTTTTACTTAATTAATACCCCTTTATCAATTCCTTTAATCACGAAATACATGTTGACAACTATGTAAGTTCTCATTACTAATTAAGTTCTTCCTTAAATAGGGATAATTTCACATAAATACAACTCACACACCTGACTTGCAACATAATAGCCTAGATATCACTTTACAAATCTATAGCCCAAAAAAATAATAGGCTAATTCCCGAAAGACAGCTTATTTTGCTCCCTCTGTATACAACCAGTTGTTTTCATTCTGCTGATTTCCTTTGATTATTAAGCATTTGATAAAAAAAATTGAAATCAGCCACAACGCAACTCAAAAATCCTGAATAATACATATTATCTGAAGGTAAGAAATTCAAACACTTTTATGTGCAATTGCTGAAGCAATCCAACAGGATAAAAGAAAAACAAAAACTTGGTAAATGAATTGTAGAATCCCTCCAACGCTCATACAACACATTACACGAAAAAGAAGAAGAGAAGGAAGTGTCAAACTTCTGTAGAGGCCTCTTACACACTAACAATGTATATACATCCTTATAAACTGAAAAAATATATAATTATACAATATTATACACAAATATACACATTTATACACAATTATACAATACTGTATAACTTGTATAAACATGTATAATAGTGTATAAGAGGTGTTTGTATATCCATATACACAATTATACACTAGTATACAGTGTTGATACAAACTGCTACATAGTTATGATTTTTATCCAAACCTAATTTCAGATTCGAGACTTCAAGATCATAATAACAATGACAGAACTTCAAACTTCAAAATCTTCCAACATTAGTGGTTATTTTTTGGTGCAAATCAAGTTTGAGAACTATTTATTTTCAGATCTGTGATATTTTCATGTTTCTTTCAAAAATCTTCAATATTCTTCTACTTGCCACCATGGACGACGGAGTAGGAGCCCAAGCCTTCTTCGAGCCATTAATGGCAGAACTGCGTGGGGGGNGAACTGGGGGGGGGGTAGAGGAGGGAAAATAGCGGGGGCTAGGTTAAGAGAGGATGAGGGATCTATGTGGGTTAGAAAGAAAGAAGTGAGAGGCGGTGAAAGAGAAGGGAATGAAGAAAGAAGAAAATAATAAAAACCCTAAAAGTATGTCTTTAATAGTAGGCTAAAGGCTGAAAAATTTCTTTCAAGTTATGTACAACATGAGCTATAGGGTAAGAGCTTCAAATGTGTGCCATTTTTGGTTGGGCAGTTAAACCAAGTGACATAGGCTGTAATTCTTTCTTATATTAACAAGAAAAAAAATAGAAAACGCAACCAAATTCCACCGAATTTTGTAGCATGAAATACTTAGGCAAACAGTATATATAAAGCCTTTTGCTTTTTGGAAGAAAGTTCTAATGCTTAGGATTTAAAATCTTAAAATTTTACCTTCTATGCTAATAATTTAGCTAAATATTAATTCTATTATAATTTTAGTATTATAATTAAAAGTTATCTAACTGATAAACGACAACATATCTTAACAACATCATTCGTGAACCAAGCGAACTAACATTGAATCAATACTCAAGTATCATATAACTAAAATATTATCAACAAATAACTTTTAATTAGTAAACAATAAAAAAATTTAACACAAAAAAATCTTAAATGCGTATGGAAATATATCTTAAACACTATTGTAATTTTCTATTAAATACACACAAAATGTATATGAAATGTTATTAGATTTTTATACTTTTTGCCAATAATATTTCATTATGATACACTTCATGATGAATAATAATAATAATAATAATAATAATAATAATAATAATAATAATAATAAATATTAATATTCTACTTGCATTTTTATGACAATCATTTTTTTTCTAAATGTAAATTAATTAACTTGATTAAATACTACCCTTAAATTCGTAATACGATAGCTAAACCTAAAAACATGGAGTCTCGTTTCGTATTTCGTTATTTTTTAATTTGAGTTCCAATAGTAATAACATGAAATTTATATTACTATATTAGGTACATGAGCAAATAGACTTCTTTTTTAAGGTCAAGATGAGTATATTATTACATGATATTTGAGTATAAATCAATATATTATTTTACTCTATCTGAGTTACTAAAGCAAATATACAAATATATCAAATTTATGATATGGCATTAGAATACTTTTGTGTGACATACTTTTTGCCTTTATTATATTATCTAAATAAGATCATATCCATCATTTTTAAGAGCTTGTGCTTTTCGTAAAATTTTATTATATAACTCAAACACATAGTTTAATAATATTTATGTGATTTTAGGTATTTTATATTCATTGATATAGAGTTCAGGCGCAACGCGCGTATCCTATAAAAAAGTTAAAAAGAACTTAAATACTTATTTGACCATCTTAAAAGCCAATCCAAACACCCTCCTAATAACAAATTTCAACTATTAAGCTTCTTTCAAATGTCAACTGTTACTGAATTTCATGATTCACATTACCAGTGTTCATAATTCGATAATGCATTTCATAATTTGACTGAAATCAAATATCATATTGTTAGAACGTAAAACCATAAGGAAATGGTAAAGCACTGAATAACGGAACCAATTTCTATTACTTGGTGCTCAAGGGGAAAGGGAAAAAAGAAAAAGAAAAAGAAAAAGGAAAAAAAAGACTCAACATTAGCTGACACCACTCACTCACCATTCTCCTTCATCACCTTCGAATCGTTGCTATTCTCCGATCTACTCTCGCCGGCGAAATCGAGCTGTAAGTTTCGTCTTTCTCTCTCAATATTTCATCTTTCTCTTAACAAAACCCTAATCCTTTTAATTCAGTATTTTGAAGAGCTAAAAAAAGAGGTAACTTTCTGGGTCTTTAATCTGGAAACGAGAAGCATAACCTCATTGTTATTCAAATCAAAGTGCACATGTTTAAACTGCAAAATTATGTAATGCATAAGATTTAGCATGTCCAATGATCAATTGCAAATTCTGTTTCCAGTTCTTGATTTATTGTCAATAAAAAGAGTTAATTTGCAGCATGTGGTGTGTGGGTTAGACAAAAGTTTGGTATTTAAGTGGAGAAAGGGTACAGAGGTGAGCCCATTGTCTATCGAGTTTAGAACCATGTGCCACTGGCTCTCAATGATTTCGTGGTTATAAAGAAAAAAAAGGTGTTAATTTGCTACATTTAATTTCATTTTTGTGAGGGTCATCTTAGTTTGATAATAGCTTCAGTTGTGAGGGTCATCTTATTTTGTTCCTAGAATCTACCTGTAAATTAAGAACTTGAAACTAGGAAACAAACAGACAAATACACTGAGAAAAAGAATTGTTGATAGGAGAGAAGTAGAAGAGAAACCAAAATTGAACTGAACACAGAGTCCTAGTACACAGATAGCATAAGGTCCTATTTTTATGCTACATTTTTCTTGGATCATTTCGTGCCTCACTGTTCAACTGTGCACTTCATCTAAGTTGCATCGCTTCAGTGAGAATCGATCTCCTTTCAATTCGCATTTCTCCATCGCTTTGTGCAAGAGGTTGCTTTTAGTAGCACTGCTTAACTATAGAAGTGTACCGGCAGTACTATTTATTTACTACTTCTTATATGATAATAGCTTCTGGAGTTACGAGGTGTACTTATCTGCCTTTGAGTATTACTTATAAATTTTCTTAGAATTTTTTTTATAGAAATATGTTCTACGGGAAGAGTATGCTTCTTTTTTTTTTTTTTTTTTTTTTTTGATTTGCACCGGGTGTCCGAGTCTCTTAGAGCCCCGACTAATCCCGGGGGTGCACAGGCCCTCGGCAAGGAGTTTCCCGCAAGTGCACCACGGTTAATTCAGGTTTTACCCAGTCCGATGGCCCTCAGAAATTGTTTGCACCCAGTGGGTTTCGAACTTGAGACCTTGAAAGGGAGCAAACCCCAAGGCTCAAGTCAATTGCCAGATCTACTAGTGTGCTTTTGAAGATAATAAGTACTCGAGTTTCTGACATTTTTACCATAGAGAAGATGAAAAGACAATTAGACCATCAAATGTGAATGTGTGAATTTCAAGTCATCTAGAATACTCATAAACATCCACTATCATGTGAATATATTGCTAATTCAGTGAGGTTTTGGTTAGTTCTTATGAAAGGTTCTCAAGTATTTAAATGTTGTTGCAATTAAGCTTTTATCTTGTTGACATTATCAAAGTGGTGTGGTTTGCCTTCAATTTGGGTTTATGGTTTCTTTTTGCGATGAAAAAGGTCAATGAGTTTTTGCTAAGATAGAGCTTATATCCTTGTTTAATCAGATGGAGAACGCAAATGGCTCGGTTCCTGACATCCCAATACAGGAGCTTAAAGAGAAAGAAAATGCTGATTCTGTTGAAAATTTCAGCCAGCGTGTTGATGAAATGGTTGGGAAGGTTGATCAGGTACATCAGTGCTGAGGCAAATTGTAGACTTGATTGTTATAGCTACTTTTTTCAAACATTCTTTAAAATTGCTCTTTACTATTCTTCTTTACATTGTAGTCACATTGTTGTTTTGGCCTATCATCATGTATTTTGTCTACATGATCTTGTTAACATGCGATTTCTAGCATATTTTTAATGTGTTATCTGTGATAAATCATTGGTAAATCAAAACATGTTATTTCTATGTTCTTTTTATTTTGTATTGTGTTGGCCTGAGATGAATTTAAATGGGAGAAACATCGTCAGTAATGGTTCATATAGCCAATTCCAACTTATTTAGTTGTTATAGATGACACACAATATACAATTCACAGCCTTATCAAAAAATAAAAAATAAAAATATAATACATTATTCAAATTGGCCATATTTTTTTATAGAGGCAGTCATTCTAATCGACATTATGGTTGCACTTTAACTGGACAAGTTTGGGTGTGTAAAAGCTGTATTGTAATAGGAGAAAGTGAAAAGCAAAGAGATTCTCCATTGCACCTCTCAAGTTCCTTTCTTACGTGAATAAAATTGAGAATATAACATGTAAAAGAATAACATAACATTCTTCTGATAGTCTGCTGCAGATAAGAAGATACATTCAGTCACACACCGAGATTTATTAGCAAGAGCATTCAAAACGAAGATATCAATCCATAAGCATATTCTCTACTTTTGGAACCTTGTCTTAAAGTCATATGTTCTGGTGAAACAAATAGGGAAAAAGCATAGTTGATTGGAAGGAAGCCAAACAACATTAGACAGAAAATTCAGTGCACAAGACCTTTTTTTTTTTTTTTTTTTTTTTTGTGTGGAGGGGGGTTGAACTTGCTTGATCAGAGATGTGAGAAGAATAACAGAATTTACAACATTGTCTGTTTACCATTGAATTGAGCGTGGCATCATAGGATTTTTGTTTCTTCTAAGTTTAGTTCAGGGAAAGGTGTTTTGATAAGATAAAGTGAATTAAACACAGAGTAAATACGCTCAGGGAAAAGAAAAAGCTCACCAAGTATGGACCATACGAGCAAAAGTTTTCGGAATTCTCCAATCTAATCCTTTTCTCTCTTGTTTGATCCTTGTGGTTCTTACCCTGCTCGGTCAAGGTGCTAGGAGAATGAGGTGTTCACCTCTTGAGGCGAGGCTTGCCCTTTTCCAGTTAATTTCTGAGTGATAACGGGCCAGGTTTCTTTTGCTAGTTGAAGGTAAAATTAATATGCCAAGAAAGAAAAAAGAACCCAAAAAAAGGGATGAAAAAACAAGGCATTGATTGAGAGAATTTTAATTGGTGGCTTTCTCCGTATTCTGTAATGTGAAAAGAAGATGGACATTTGGAGAATTGAGCTCTTCTTTTCTTTTGATTTTTGAGCTCTTCTTAGTTATTTGGTTGGATGTAAGCTGCAACTTGGACAAACCACATCATCCGCCTTCCTCTGTAAATGTCTTATTTGGACTGGGTTTAGGGGAGAAAATTATTGCATCTCTATTTGTGGGATTGAGGCTCATAAGACCTTTTCTTTCCCTTTTCTCTTCTAGATGGCAGGGAAAGTTAGTTGCCACTTCCTGCCCAGCATCCCCTCACAATTGGATATATTCTGATGATACTCTGTTATACTTAAATCCAATGGATACTTTTTTTTTTGGTTCCTTCTTATGTTTAATACTCTATTTTAGGTGTAATGATTTTCAGCTTGCTAGCTTGCGATTCTTATGCTTGCCTATGGCAAAGCAGCCTATTGCTCACTTCAATTTTTTTTCATAAATGATCTCCTCATAGCTTCATTTTTAATGCTCTTAGCAAATCATTTCTGTTTGAAAGCTTTTGCTTCGTACTAGTTCTTCAAACAGACAGTAGATGTTATTTTCTCTCGATATTGTTACTCTCACCAGACTATACCAGCACACAAACTGTATATTACCCAGCATTTGCAATTAAAAAGTACAATATCTCTCAGCATCTATGTTGCTGATTACTCATGTATTTCTGCCGTGTTTTCATTTGGAATACAATTGCTCTTAAATGTAATCTGGTCACAAGTTTGTTACATCAACAGCTTGAGCAGAGACTGAATGATGTTGAGCATTTCTATTCCAATACTAGCAAAAAGCAATCAAACACGCCAAGAGGTAGCTCTATTCTGAAAGATAAAGACAAACAGGTTTCTAGCTTTAAAAGGCGGCAGCAGGATGCATCACGTAGAGAAGCAGCTGGTGCCAGGAGAATGCAAGAACTTGTACGCCAATTCGGCACTATATTACGTCAGGTAACTTATTGTGTTCCAAGTGTCTTGACCCCATTTTTTTTCTGTCTAAAGCTAGTATGCTGCTAAATCAGTAATTTTTGTTAACCTTTAAACTTTTACAACTGTTAAATATCAGAATAATTATGTATCCCGACCCAAATCAGCAAGACAACATTAGAAAAGGTTTGGGAAAATAGTGGTACTGCTGAACTTGCAGAATGGAGTGTTATTCTGTTAAAGATGGAAGCTCCAGATAAGGATGCGTCATAGCTTCTTAACCAAAATCACTATTGTTACTCAATGGAATGTGCTGACGCCTGAGTGTTGAAGAGATGTATTAAGCCTTAAGCTAGTGTTTTTTTCATTGTGATTTCCTGTTCCTGTAAAAGTATAGTCAGTTTTGACATACCTCACATCATTTACTCATTTTTGGTACCAATGCCGTACTCTTTTTACTTTCTCGACGGAGGTACATATCATTTGTATTTGTCCTGCTTTTGATTTTGCATTCACTCCGTCTCACCTTAATGAGTAAGTTCACTGATTTACCAATTAAAAGAGGAAGTCAGTTGGCCGATCTTGGCCTTCATCCTTCTCTATCAATGTAACTATCTTTATTTTATTTCTTTTTACCGTAGGATATAGTGGTAAATGAAAAGAAGGGTAGGGTATCTGAACATATTATGGTGGTGCACCATGTTTAAGAGCGAATGTAGTTATTATTTACTCTAGTTAAATTTTTTCTACTCATTGCTTAATCTATTTGTCAGATCACTCAGCACAAGTGGGCAGAACCTTTTATGGAACCTGTGGATGTTGAGGGTCTTGGATTACATGATTACTTTGAGGTAAAGGTTTTCAATTTTCTTGCCGATATAATTGTATCCATGATGTCCTTAGGATTCCTTTGGTCATTTTGTTTCTGCTAATACTTCATGTGATTTTCTAGGTTATTGAGAAGCCCATGGACTTCAGTACTATCAAAAGAAAAATGGAAGCAAAGGATGGTTCTGGCTATAAGCATGTCCGGGAGATATGTGCAGACGTTAGGCTAATATTTAAGAATGCAATGAAATACAATGAGGAAAGGCATGACGTTCATGTAATGGCCAAAACCTTATTGGGCAAATTTGAGGAGAAGTGGTTGCAGCTTTTGCCAAAAGTTGATGAAGAGGTACAACCCATATCCATGTATTGTCTATGGTCTTTGTCTTTTATTTAGTATCTCATGTAAATTGGTAAGATAATTGAATCATGTTCTTGTAGGCTGTTGAATATGCTTATGTGATTAGAATATTAATTGGATTTATAAGTAAATGTTTGAGACATTAATATATAGAACAACTGCTCATAGGAAAAACGGCGAAAGGAAGAGGAAGCGGAAGTCCAGCAGGATATGCAGCTCGCTCAGGAGGCTGCTCATGCCAAAATGGCTAAAGATTTGAGTATTGAGGTAGTTAAAGCTCAGTGTCCTTCACACAACAAAAAAGTTGAGTCATATTGGCCTGACTGTTTTTCGATCATCCTCTTCACACGTACTTATTAAATGTAACCCACTACCGCCATAGAAAATAACTTAAACTTATCTTTTGTATTCCAGCTTGATGAGGTGGACATGCAACTAGAAGAACTCAGGGAAATGGTGCTTCAGAAATGCAGGTTAGAACCTTAGCAAATAACTCTCTTCAGTTAAGCTGTGCATTTATTAATTCCAAAGTAGCTGATTGGTTGCATAAATATACCTTATACTCTAGTCCTTCCTTTCGTTGGATGAGGTTACCAGATAAGTTTTCAGGCTGGATCCAAAAAAATTACCTAAAATGTTCCATGTATTTTATTTATTTTTTACAGATGTTTCTATGGTATGAACTTTTTCCGTGTTGAACAAAGGGGTCTTTTCAAGAAAATCCCCCTAACATATGGTGCTAGTAATAGGTGAAAATCCCATGACCACGATTACAAGTGTGCCAATATGGTCAGACACTGGAAATAAATATAATGAGAACACTAAATGTGGCCGAGTTCTAGAAGGAAGACGGAAAACAAATGAATTTTACGAGTCTTGTGCCTGGATAAGAGGGAGGAGAGCAGTTGTCCTGTTAAAGTCAAGTAAACAAACAGTTCGAAATTGGAAAGAAAAATCTACCATATGACCTTTTTCCAATAGTAAAGTAAAATGGATGTGTCGGCTGGGAAATTAAAGGCAACAGTAATTGGGCCTGCTCATGACAGGGTATTGACAGTGAAGCTTTTCTTTTTCCCTCCAGGTTCTGGTCTGGTTACTTACGTGGAGGGTAAAATTAGTATGCTGGACATTTATTGTGTGATTTGGTGTGCAATTCTGTATTCTGGAACTTAATAATCCTATGAATGACCTTTTCTCCATGGTTTTTTATAAATTCTAAAAGCGAACAGTTGAAGTCAGATAATCAGATAAACTTGGGATCAACAGCTAGATGCTAACATAGTAAGTGAACAAGAAATGCTCCAAGTACGATTTGGGCCATTATACACATGTTTATGTGATACATTAGTATGTCACACTTCTTGTCAACATTAGTATGTCACACTTCTTGTCCTGGTTCAACAAGGTCAGGCATGAAATTTGGCTCATCGCTAACAAATCATTTAGATGTGTATTGTGCATGTGTTTTCTTTGTTTCTGTAGTTATTTTGTTATTCGATTTTAGGTTTACTGCAGTATTTGTTGCTAAGTTTCTCATAAATATTTCAGAAAGATGTCAACTGAAGACAAGAAAAAACTTGGGAATGGGCTCACAAGGCTGTCTCCTGAAGATCTTAATAAGGCACTGTTGATTGTGGCACAGAGTGATCCTACTTTCCAAGCGACAGCAACAGAAGTGGAGCTTGACATGAATGCTCAGGTCATCATTATCGGTCATGATCATTTCATATATGCAGCATTTCTAGTTCTTAATCTACTCTTACTTTGCATTTCTAGTTCTTAATCTACTCTTACTTTACATGACTCGAGTATTTTACCTTTATGCAGAGTGAGTCCACGCTATGGAAGTTGAAATTCTTCGTACAGGATGTGCTACATCCACACGGAAAGAGCCCCGCGAGCATCGTACCAAACAACATCAATAACAATAATCTCCTAAACAACAACAACAAACGCAGAAGAGAAATTTGTGATGCACTCGCCAAATCTTCCCAAAAAAGGAGTAAAAAGCCATCCTGATTTGTCATAACCAACTTCTTCTTGTCACTTTTGGAGGTGTAAATGTTTCAAGTCATTGGGGACGTGACAAACTATCTATCCTCAATGTTGTTAATACCTCAGAAAGAACAGGAATAGTCATTGTAATAAGTAGGTTTTTGTATAGGAAATTCCTGATGGATATATCTTACAAGCAGCTTGCATTTGCAGATATACATAGCAATAGTGCATTAACAGGTCGTCCTTCAATGCTTGGTTAAAAAGGGCAGTCTGGTGCACAAAGCATCCCGCGTTCACGTAGGGTCCGGGGAAGGGCCACGTCCCAAGGGGATTCGATGTAGGCAGCCTACCCTGATGCAACCATCAGTGGCTGATTACGCGGCTCGAACCCGTGACCTATAGGTCACACGGAGACAACTTGACCGTTGCTCCAAGGCTCCCCTTCAATGCTTGGTTAAAGTATCATTTAGTCCTCTAATATCTTCTTGAAAGCAGCTTTATAGGAAATAGCTTACGCCACTCGCATTGTCCCGAATTGACACGAGAGGCTTGGATTTAAAATTTTTGTGTAAACATTCAAGTTGACAAGGAATAAGCAAAACAACCCAGGGCTACGTTCTAAGCCAGCAGTGGAGTTTTGTGCTTGTATTACCCGTAAGTTATTAGTATCACACTCTCTTTTCGTCAAAGTTGAAGGCCTAATGATCAAAATTATAGTTGCATGTTTTTGTGTTTTACTCAATGCATAAAATATTTTATTTTCATCAGTGTTTATAAGATCATCTTGATTCAGCATTGGTCAACACTCAACATTAAAGGTCTCACTACAAGCAAATGCCTGGTACTTTACGTTGGGACAAGTATGGATATTATATGGTTTATCTGCTATCGTTATCACAAATTAATGGTAAATACTTACCCACACCGGGTGTTTACACCAAACTATATTAACTCACTATGGTTAATTAATTTAATTAGATGAGAATGCACGTAATTTACTATGGTTAAATGATTGAAGTCCATATGCAAGACACATGTCATATATCTATTGGTTTGGTATAAACACCCGGTGCGGGTAAGTTTTTACCCAAATTAAATATTATGTTAATAACAGCTTTAGCTCTATTGATGGAGGGTCAAGCTTTAAGTTTGACTTTTGCTTCAAACTCTTGCTTTGGAAGATTGGCCCCACCCAAAGTGATCGATGTTGCATCTTGACCTGTTTCTGAGGAGGATAGTGTATACGCTCACCTTACTCCTTGCTTGTGAAAGTAGAGAGTCTGTTTGCGATACACCCTCGACTCAAATAAGTATAAAGATGAAAAGTAATTCAAGGTAATTGGACATAGAGAAAAAACAATAGCACAAGAACACAATGATATGGAATATTGGGGACCAAAGATAAGAAAGGGAATATTTGTTGTCCTTTTACCTAAGCACACATTTCTAAATCCTAGTACTATATCAAGCAAAGAGCTCGAAGAAAATAAAATGCAGAAGTAGTAAAAGGGGGAATCAAAACTTTGGAATAAAAATGTTATTCGAATCCTTTTTTTAGGGAAAAGATACGAATAAGTCCTAATTTTTTGTCTCGGAATTCTAAGTGCTAATGAAGCTTTTTAGGACTAATAAATTCTGCTTTTCCAGCTCAAGATAGTGACTGCTTTTTTTAGTATGCGAACTTTAAAACACTGTTAAATTAAATACTAGTACAAAGTTATTGACTAAGTAAACAATTACTCGAAATTGATTTCTAAGATAATCAATCATTTATGATTGTTTAAAATAGACAAATTAAGCTTTTATGCCATAATCATAGATGATTGTAATAATATGCAAAGTATATGTTAGTTAATGGGTAAATTTAGATAATGAAATTTAAAAAAGAAAATGAGTTTGAAAATCAAATAATGAACAAAGGCTTTATAAGCAAAATGACTACTAAGTGTTAACTACATACATTTGTGTCAAATTAAATCAACGCTAAAACATAAAGGAGATAAAAGTCATTCTTCCCCATTTAACTGTAACGATTTCTAACTTAGTTAAACCAACGGATAATTTAAGATCTTTATCTATCTATATCTATACCTATGTTATATTATATTAAAAGCACGAAAGCTCTCAGCAAAAGGTAGTTTGCCTTTTTTACCTTTTAGAAATAAGTTTCACATTAGACAAAGTTGTAATTTAATTAACTTACCTAATATCTAGTACTTTAAAATTAACTAAAAGTTTGGTTATTAAATATTTTCTTATTGAACTAGATAAAAAAATCCTAATATTTAGGATGTTAAAATCAATAAATTCTTTTCCTTATATAATTTTTTTCCTTATTTTATACGTCTTATTTTACTTTGGGTTGGGGGGGGAGGGGTGAATTATTCTTGCACCTCTTTAATTTCATATTCATAAGATTAAAGTCCTATATTTTATATTATATATTTTGTATAACGTTGAACATGAAAGTTTTTTCAAAATATTTCAATTCTAGAAAAAGGTCTATAGCTCTTTTTTTTTTTTGGTTGTGCATAAACATTTGTACACCTATACCGAGGTACTTGAACAAACAGTGTCTCTATCCTTTTTTATTCTATTTACTATTTAGCTAAAACTAAAATAAAGAATGAATATTATTCTATTGTATTTCTTTATTTTTGTTATTTGTTATACGAGCATGACTACATACAATAAATTTTATTATCTTCTACTTTCATGAGCCGATCTATATATTTTATATTTAATTAGGTTTAATGTGTAAGAAGCTATAAGCAATTATAGAAGATACATTGAAATTTATTTTTCATATGCTAGCTAGCATGGACAAATGCACGGTTATGGACTATAGGGTGGTCTTATTTCGCCTTACCAATCCCACAAAAACTCCGAATACAAACCTAGATCATTCGTACTGACAGATTTTTTGGGTGCTAAGATTCAAAGTCAAGAGGAAAACAACCCAGATTGTATGCTAAGGTCCCTAAGCAATCACTTAATAGAAAAAAAAAGTGATCGGGTGATAACAATCAGGAGCAGATAAAAGATAATATTCGATTGTCCATAAAACTGGATAAATATAAAAGATAACATTTGACGCATTCATATGTAAAATCTAGATCCATGTTATGGATGGAGAAAGAAAGCTCTCCAAAAAAGAAAAAAGAAAAAAGATAAAAAGAAGAAAGAAAGAAAGAAAGAGTAGATTAACGTATGCTATTTTGTGATAGTGACTTTTTCTAATTTGTTGGAATAATTTACCACAATATTTTTTGTTGAGTAAGAAAAAAAAATGTTTGAATTGACCTCTTATGTCAGTTAACTCGTGTCTTTTAGAATGAACTTGAGAATATATACCTTTTTAATTTTTTTTAGTTAACTCTTAAATCTCCAAAGGTTATATATTCTTGTTGAAACGAATAACAAATGATGATAACTTGTGAAATTAAAGTAATAAAATTATAAAATTGGAAAAAATATTAAGTTGAATAGAGGAATTGAGATGCTAGATTGAGAACTTCTATGAAGTAGAATTTCTTCCTTCTTGAGTAGTTGGCTAAATAGGATCAATAATTAGTATTTTTAAGAATTCTTCTTTTGTAAACTCTTATTTTTGTAACTCAAACATAATTTTCACTACAAAAAGCATAATTTTTATTGAGACAGGTTACACGCGCAAAACGCGTACTCTAAAATTAATTATATAAATTTGGCGAAGTGTTTAATAATAAGCAAGCAGGAAGCAACTTTCCAAGGCTAGAATTGAAACGAGTCAAATATATTTATTTAAAGAAAGTGTTAACGCATTTTAACATTGTCTCCTAGCTTCTATATTTGATACTATTTCATATGCATAGTGCAATGGTAAGTTGGTAACTTGTTCTTATGAGCAGACAATTTATATTTCTTACATATTTGTCCTTTTACGTTTTTTTTTTCTCGGAATTAGAAAAGAAGGGGTTCTTTTAGAAAATGAAAAACCCTAAGAGGGGCGGAGGTAGAGTTTAATTATGTTGGAGACGATAAAGGAATTTCTGATTCTTCGATGGTGTTTGATAGAGAAGAGGGTTTGAGTTGAATCTAGGGGTTGGTCTAATTAATTTGTCTGTAAAGACCAAAGCCTTTTGTATTATTTTGATTGCACTTGTTTGGCATATGCTGGTTCCATATTGTTCTTTTATATGGGCTGGTTTCGTCGACTTGGGCCTCCTCAACTCAGCTCATACTCACTTTTTTAGGCCTTTCATCTGTCTGCCTATTATGAAGCCCAACTAGAAGAGAACAGAAGGTAATAGAAGAAAGATAATAAATGTAGATATTATTCTTTATTTGTTGTAGAATAGCTAATAACAACAAGGACACATAGGATAGGTAGTTATGCACAACTTCTTTTCTCCATGTACTTATACACAGTCCTTGTGCAGGGAAAATACACAATCAATACGGAAAAGAAAAATTCTCTAAAATTGTATTTCTATTTTGCTATGGTATCAGAGCAGGTTTGATCTGTTATAGATTCAAACTATATCATTTTCCTTTTCTTTCTTTCTCACTATAATGGCAACTGAAAGTCATCCCAACGATTTATTAACTTCTTCCACACCTATTGCTGGAGTTTCTATAGCAGCAGGAACTGCTGTTTCTGGTGTTGTTGATTCAGCACATCCTTATTACCTCCATCCTTTAGATTATCCTGGCATGAACTTCGTTTTTTCTGTGTTTGATGGCAGAGGTTATGCAGGATGGAGAAGAGCAGTAGTGATAGCTCTGTCTACTAAGAACAAGCTAGGGTTCATTGATGGATTCGTAGTTGTTCCTGCTGCTGATTCAGGACTTCAAAGAGCTTGGGCCCGCTACAATGGTATGGTCCTTTCTTGGCTTCTCAACTCACTCTCCAAAGAAATAGCAGAAAGTGTGTTGTATTCACAAAGTGCAAAAAACCTATGGGCTGACCTGGAAGACAGATTTTGTCAGACAAATGGTGCTAAACTTTTCTAGCTGCAAATGGAACTAAGTGCTGTGGTGCAGGAAAACTCTAGTGTTACAACTTATTTCACTAATGTGAAAAGCTTATGAGATGAGCTTGATGCTCTTAATACCTTTTCTACTTGTGTGTGCGATTGTGATTGTGGAGCTAAGATAAAGAACCACAAAGCTCATCAAGATAAAAGATTGCTGCAGTTTCTTATGGGATTGAATGAGTGCTTCATAGGAGTAAGAAGTAACATATTGTTG